CCCCCCCCCCCCCCCCCCCCCCGGCCATTTGTGAACATATATTTTTATTTTTATTATCTTTCTCACATTTTATGTGAAAACCGTATTTTTTCATTAAGTTTTTTAAATGACCCTTGTGGCCAAATTAGATGATTATATGGATACTAGGTTTTAGATACCCTAACATATTTAATCTATCGATTCTTAAAGGCTACTAAGAGAAGTATAAGATTGTATCACACTCTTTCTCTATTGACATGGAATTCAAATTTTTGGAAACTTAATACTATTTTTTTTTATGGGGAATATGCTAGAGCTTGGGTCAGTTAGTTAAAGGTCGATCCATATTCAAACCCACCTCACCACACTGATGACCACCATCCCAAATCTCATACACGCGGTCAAGACTCACTCACAAGAATTTAGTGTGTAGTGTAGATGATATTTGAAAAAACCTATACTAAGTACTCCAAGTAAGTTCTAAATTAAGTCAATGGAAATTGTATTCACATCCATTCATTTTACAAGTACTCGATCACAATGTAACATGTTTAATCACTTCATAGTGTTATATAATAAAAAAATCTTTCTCTTTTTACCTTTATTTTATTTTATTTTAAAAGGATAATACAAAAAAATGAGATAACAAAAAATTAGATTGCATGCCTGAATACATAGATATCATGTCCTTGTAGATGTATGCACCTAAAGACCTACCGAATGGAGTACACAAATGCTCTTACCAAAAGAGCAATGTGAAAAGCACTACAATTTACTACATCCCTTTGACCTGTAAGTTCACTCTTTTTAACCCAAACTAGTCTTGAAGAATAGGTCATCTTAGTCAAGTAACTCGTCATTTCAGCTAAGTGACTGACTTGATTAGTTAAGGACCTAACATGAGAAGCGGTGTCCTATTTATTGTTCATAACCAAGAGCTTTAGGCACCTAGATCTTATGTGACCTAACTCACCACAGTAGTGACACGTAGGAATGAATCTAGGAACAACTCTCTGGGTTTTCAATTTTGGACCTTAGGTTGAGGAACTCTATACTGCACAAATGATCTCTATCTTAGGACTTCTGTGCTCTTAGGCTTGATAGAGGCATGTACAAACCTATTTTAGAAGAGGTAGAGATATAAGAACTTATTTCATTAAAACCTAAACCTCCCTTATTTCTAGCGGCTTATTCAATCCCAACATATTGTCAATCTTTTTAAAGCCACTAGAAGAAGATCGAAGTTGGGCATTTAATTTCTTAAATGACTCCTTCTCAACTATCAACTCATTCAGACTTCTATTAGACTCTTCAAGTTTAATGACAAATATGTCTTTTTCTAACTCAAGTTAATGCAAAGTCTTAATGGCCTATTTACCTTCTTCATCTTAAGGCTCTCCTCAAACAATTAGTCAAAAGCCTCATATATGTCTCGCTCATCTTCTAATTCTTCATGTGAAGAGTTATATTTTGCTATGTTCTAAAGTCTATCATTCTCCTCTACAGGTTCACTCTTAACTACTGAAGTAAATGCCATACACTTCAAACCACATAATTGGAATTCTTATTTTGATCATCGAATCTAGACTCATCATCTGTGAGAGTGGCGTATAACTTGTCGCTCAGCTCTAACATATCCAAAACCATAATAATCATGACACCTAACAGATTGAGACCTCTTCCGACATCCCTAGTATCTATCTTCTCTCTTTTATCTTTCCTATATTTACTAGATTCATCCCGAAACTTCTTGAAAGGTCTCTTATTATGTCTAAAGAATTTTTTGAATTTCTTAACAAAGTAAGCATACTCTTCATCCTTAAGTGTGTCATTATCAGTCTGATCAATAGTCTCTTCCTTAATAGTGTTGAAGACTAAAGCTTTATTTTTTTAGACTGGGGTAGGCTAATTTCGTAGGTTTGGAGAGACCAGACAAGTTCTTGTATTATAACCACATCTAGGTCTTTACTTTCCTCAATAACTGTGACCTTAAGTCTAAATCTTTTAAGTATGGATCTCATCACGTTTCTTACAATCTTAGGCTCGTAGATTCGTTCACCTATGCTGAAACCAAAGTTTGCTATGCCATTCAATTTTGCATAGAACTCATCAAAAGATTCATCATCTTTCATTCCAATTTCCTCAAACCTACGTATGCAATTTAGAGTTTTTCACGGTCCTAGTTCCCCCATGTGTGGTTTCTCCCAAGCTTTTTTAGCAATCTCACACAGGGAAACACGTTTAAACTCTTTCGAGAAATTATCCATAAAGATGACATGGACACCTCTACTATTCCAATTATATTTAGCTAAATCATCCTTAGGCCAAGTAGGGATATCTATTGGCATAACAATACCAACAACAGATGTAGATGGGGTAGTCCAACCCTTTTTTCACACTAGCCTGTACTCATTCATCCATATATTTTAAAAATTCTTTCATTCAAACCTTCCAATAAGCATAATTAGTTCGATAAAAAAATATGGAAGAACAAATAGTGATTGACTCATATAGATAAAACCAGGTTAAGAATCGATATCAAGCTCTGATACCAATTGAAAATAACCGTGGTTTTGAAAAATCTAATACCTAGAGAGAGGAGAATATGTGTATTATGCGAAATTAAAGTTAACAACCAATCATAAGAAATAAGTCACTAATTATTGTTTCTAGATGAAAAAGTTTAATTAAATTAAACCCTAATTAATCAATCAAACATGCAAATAAAGTCGGTAAAAGTGAAAAATATCAATATTCGTTAACAAAGGAAAACCTCTTTAAGAACTCTTCACATAGATTAAAAAAAAAAACCTGTTCAAGCATATTCACTAAAAAAGGTTTAATTTATAGTTCGTCCAAAAATAACTAAATTTTAGTAGGCTCTGACTACCCAACTTGTAAATCACCGAATAACTCTTCGACTGTGCCTCATATACTTTTCAAAATTTCTGGACTTATTTTCTCTTAGCTTAAATCATCAAGAACGAACTTGTTCTTATACAACTGGAACTCAATTACCTTTTCCGAACTTCAGAACTCTTAAGGTTATTTGAGAAATGACTTTGTCTTTGGTGTTTTGTTCTTTAGATCTTTTTGTGTTTTTATCTTGTGGCTGAGGCAAGAGATTTATGGAATATATATTTGATCTTTGAATGATGTTTTCTTGATTAAATAATTGCTCAACACATTTTTGGGACGAACAATGATTTCGGTATTTATAATATGGAGTGTATTAGGTTGTATGAGATTTTAAAAACGGTTTAAAATTGCAAACTAGGGCTGGCCATATGTACCGCTCTCTCGCAGATAGCGAGCGGTGGCTCATCTGCTCGAATGCTGGACGTTCGGACATCGAATGGTCACCTTATTGAAAAAAAATGCTCAAGCGGTAGCCAGTGGGAAGCCAGGTTTTTTCAACAACTTGACTCTAATTACAACTCAATTAAATGAAATTTTGAACAAGAAACTTGACAATACATTTTAGACCTATCAACACTCATTGAAGAGATAAATTTGACCCCTACCTATTATTTGACACTAACAATTAAATTAACATGTCCACTGCAAATTCTTTTAGCTAAAATACTAACACATTTGATTCCTAACTAATATCAATCGAATCAATTTCTTATTGAGTAGGATAAAAACATTTCAATATTGATGTGGTAAAAGATCTCATAATTAAAGTTCTCTTGCTACCTCAGACACTTACACTTGAATCAGCAAATTCATTGCAAATGCTTCAATGGGGAGGAAATATTGGAAAATACCCGGTTGACCCGGCCACTTTTTCACAATAGTCGTTGACCAAGTAAAAAAAAAGAAAACTTAAAAAAACTTAAAAGTCTAGTATTTTTCCATTTTTGCCCTCACACGTAACTTGGAAGAGAGTTGGGAGAGAGAGAGAAAAAAAAAAGCATGTTTTCGAATTTTTGTGGATTATTTTGAAGAAATTGTTGTAGAATCAATTATTAATGGATGAAATGTGATCTGGGTGAGATTTGGGGGGAGGGGGGCGGAGATCGCCGAAAATGACGTTTTCAAGCGGATCTATCAGTTGGAGGAGAAAAGTTCAGACAGGTCTGGGCTTTTGGGCCCACACGCCCAAACCCAAACTTCTGGGCGTCTGGGCCTGAACGCCCAAAAGCCCAAACTTCTGGGCAGACAAGCCCAGATTTCTGGGTGTCTGGCCCAGTTGATTTTTTTTTCTTTTTCATTTAATATTTAATCTCTAATTAATTTCTAATTTTATTATTTAATATTAATTATAGTTTAATTTTGTCTTGAATTTTTAATTATTTATTTAATATTTAATTTAAATAAATAATTAACTTATTTAAGTAAAATTCACGAAAAAAGAGTTTGTAAAATATAAAATATTATTTAGTTATAAATAATAAACTATTAAATATTC